ATTTATACTTCTTTAAAGCATAATGGGGATGACACGGACAATGGAACTTTCCAGATGTTCTAAAAGCTCCATTCACAGGGCTGCCTCTCGGAGGTCGTAGACTTCAGCTCCCTGAGGAGTTCCCTGGTAGAGGAGGAGAGAAAGTAAAGCTAGAGAAAGAAGGGGCAGCCTTGAATGTCTGCTAGGCTTGTAGCTCCAGTTCCTACTCTTCCTGAAAGGATCACTCTTCCTTTCCCTTGAGTAGTTCCTCTCTTGAAACTTTTCCAGGCACACGCTGTTCACTGTAGAGAAAAAAATTGAAGCAGAGTTACATATTAACACAGAGAAGATGGAGGGAATGACTCTTCCAAACAATACCCTGGCAGCCTGCACTCTTCTCCCTCCTCCCTGGGCTGCTTTAACACTGGCAGGCCCTGGGCTTGGTAACCAGGCCTCAGCGTCTGTTGCTAAGGGAAGGAGGGGCCTCTGCAGTGCCCACATACAAGACTGGGCTTGATCTAGCTCCATATCCTGGTGTCTTCCTTTTCTGAAGCCCCAGCTGGGCAGCAGGCAGTGTTGATGACACAAAGGAAGACGGGAGGGTGTTTAGTAATGTTTTAGGAATGGAAAGATGAGTGGTAATATTAGACCATACCTTTATCCCAGCCCTCTGGGAGGCCAAGGTGGGTAGATTGCTTGAGGTCAGGAGTTAAAGACCAGCCTGATCAAGAGCAAGACCCCATCTCTAAAACTAGCTGGACATTGTGGCAGGACCTGTAGTCCCAGCTACTTGGGAGGCTCAGACAAGATTGCTTGAGACCGAGAGTTTGAGGTTGCTGTGAGCCATGACACCATGGGCACTCTACTCAGGGTGTCAAGCAAAAAAGAGACCACGTCTTTGGAGAGTTCCAAAAGCACGTAGCATGATGAGTAAGTATTTGGGCTTTATTATTGGACATGTCTGGCTTCAGATCCTGCTCTTCTCATTAGTCATCTATGTAACTTGAGTAAGTTGCTTAATCTAAGTGTCCTTTTTGTCTGTAAAATAGCAATTATGTGAGTATCTCCTACATAGAGTTGTTTTAAATGTTTAATGATATGATGCTTATAGAGCTATTTGCACACAATAGAAGGATGACCAACTTATCCCAGTTTTCCTAGGACTTTCCCAGTTTTAACTCTAAGTCTTGCATCCTGGGAATCCTCTCAATCCTGGGAAAACTGGGATAGTTTGGTTATCGAACACAGTGTGAGCATTCTATAAACTTTTGTGGCTAACATAATAAAAACAGAAAATTCAAGGCACATGTTACATAATCACTTTCAAAGTTCTCTCAAAACCAAGTTAGTCTTACTGAGCTCTTTTTGGGTGTCATGCTTGCATGTCTATTTTTTCATTCAATTTTCCCCACCACTCTATGCTGTTTCTATTTTATGTACAAGGAAACCAAAACTGAAAAATATATAATATTTCCAAGCTGATAAAACTCATGAGTAGGGCTTATATAATTAGAAATCTGTCCTGTTGACACCGAGCCCACTTCTTTTTCCATAAAGTACCTGCCCAGAGCACAAACATTTCTGATATTCTATGAAAATCATTGCATAGCACCAAGGACTTCCATTTCCCCCCTTTTGTCATACCTTCCACAAAGTTGGGTTCTTCATACTTTCAAAATAACCCCAAGATTTATCATTTTTTGCATTGTGCTCTCTACTACAAAATGTATATATGGTTTCAAATAGTGGTTGGAAGAAATGAGCCAGTAAAAGGATTTGGGACCTTGGTTTTAGACAGACATGGGGTTATTCCCAGGCATCCTATACTAGGTGTGAAACTTCATGCCCACAGATAACAGCAATTGTAATCCAATGAAGTAAAGAATTAGAAGGGGCCTGCTATGGTGCTATTAATGCTATGACCTTATGTGTGAGCAGGAGTCATGCTTCCATCTGAAATTTAGTGTGCTTTAAGTCTACCTGTGCTCAAAACCAAAATAATAACAATAGACTTCCATTTATTGAGTATGTACCATTTGCTAGAGCTGGTGCTAAGTACTTAATGAATAGCATCTCTCTGAATCTTCTCAACAATCCAGAAGAAGTTATTATTATTCCAAGTTTTATGACTGAGAAAACTGACACACTAAACTAATTAACTAACCTACCCATAGCTACTCAATTAGGTTAAAGGTGAAGAACTTGAACTTGATTCTGGAATCTGTTACGTGTCTCTAAGAATAAGCCTATATGCAGTCTGAGAAAAAGCAAAAAATAAATAAAATTGCTGCCAAATAAAATGAAAGCACCATTCATTCCCCTAGGACACCTCATCCGCACTAGAATTGTTCGTTGTCTGACTTAACTTTCTGTTCAATAATTCTTAAGAAAGGACGTGGGTCTCAAATTCCTCAATCTTCTCACTCCAGGTGCACAGGGTTGCCAGATAAAACCGAGGCTGTGCAGTTATAATAGATTGGAATTCAGGTAATTAATATTTGTAATAAAAGAATTTTGTAGTGTAAGTATGTCTCATTCAATATTTGGGACATACTTGTACTAAAAAGTTATCTGTTGTTTACATGAAATTCCAGTTTAACTGAGTGTCCTGTTATCTTATTTGCTAAATCTGGCAATGTAGGGAGGAGAGGTCAGCTAGGTTCCAGGATGTCCCTGTCTCTGTGGTATTAGCAGTTTAGGTTCTCAATCTTTTGCTAGGAAATTCCCACACATTTCTATTCAAAGCCCAGTGCTCCTGGAAGGTCTTTTCTGAGACCTGAAATCGTTGCTTAATGAGAGCAAGTCAATTGGGGCTGTTGTAACAAAGTACCACAGACTAGCTGGCTTACAAACTGCAGACATTTATTTCTTACCATTCTGGAGGCTGGAAGTTTGAGATCAAGGAGTCAGCATGGTTGGGGTTCCAACTATGGCCCTCTTCCAGGTTGCAGACAGAGAGCTTCTTATTGTGTTCTCACCTGGTAGAAAGAGAGCAACAGAACTCTGTGGAGTCCCTTTCATGCGGGCACTAATCCCATTCATGAAATCTTCACCTTCGTGACCTAATAACTTCCTAAAGTATTGCCTCCTAATCTTATCACATTGGGGTTTAGGATTTCAACATATGAATTTGGGGGAACACAAACATTCAGCTCATGGCAGCAATTAATTACAGAAAGGCATAGTAGAGGCTGCATGTGGATTTATTTTATCAATCTATTGAATGTTCATTGACTGCCAAGTGCTGCTGCTATGGAGAGATGCTAGGATCCCAGCCATGTGGGAATACATGATGGGGTGGAGGGAGTACAACACACAAGACAAGCAAAACCTAGCTGGGCCCACAAAAATGGCAGAGGTAGGAGAAATAAGAAGATTCACAGAGGCGTCCCTAGATGGCACCCTTAAATAAAAATCCCAGTAGAAGCCCCCCATCAACTTTCCAAGGCAAAATCTGATAGTTGCAGTGTACCCCACATCTTCCTGGGCGAGGCACCTATTTATTGCAGCTGTGCAAAGTGCACGAAGCTAGTCAAAGTCACCTATAGTTAAGAATTTAGGAACAGTTCTCTGTCCGTGTTGTATGATCCCTACCATTAGCTCCACTTTTCTGTTGTGGAGGAGTTAGAACACGATCTTTTCGTTTATTACACCCATCACCTCCGAGCTTATCTATTTCTAGACTGATTATTTCCAGAAATATTAGGAAGTAGAAGTAATAATATCATCAAATATTTGAGTTCCTACTATCTGTCCCATAGCTTCTTCCCTGCCATAATTGCACCAGTCGTCACTACAACCCTGTAAGGGCTTCTCTCTATATCTAAAGAGTTATTCTCCAGCTTGCTAAATCCACAGGTGTAGAGGAGAAGTAGGCAACATAGGTCCCTAGCTAGGACCAATGTAAAGTCCTAGCTCTCTCCACATTTTATGGATGAAGTCATGCTCAGAGAGGTTATTCCAGGGGTCCTCAAACATTTTAAACAGGGGGCCAGTTCACTGTCCCTCAGACAGTTGGAGGGCCGGACTGCGGGCCCTGGGACGAATTGGCTGCTAAGCAGGACAGGCAGAGGCGGCAAAAACACCTGGCTGGCCAGATAAATGTCCTAGGCGGGCTGCATGTGGCCTGCAGGCCGTAGTTTGAGGACACCTGGGCCGTTATTCCATCACAGTTAAGAGTTAGAGCTGAGACCCAGGACTGTCTGACACCAGCCCATGTTCTTCACCAGTAAGTTCTGTGACAGTGATTTTCATTGGGAGATGATTGCACCTGCCAGGGGATATTTGGCAATGTTTTGAGACATTTTTGGTTGTCATAACTGGGGTGGAATGGATGCTTGCTACTAGCATCTAATGGGTAGAAGTCAGGATGCTGCTAAACATCTTACAACGCACGGGACAAGCCAGAAATCGAGTTTTCCTGTCCTATATCTCAACAGAACTGATACTTTGAAGTCTTGCTTATGTGCTGGATTTGGGGCCAGGAAACAGGTTCCTGCTCTGACTTGGATCCTAGCAAACTGAGGGATTGGGATTTATCTTGTCTCTCTTGCTCACACACAATAGAGATACTAATCTAATCCATCTCTAAGGATCTCACTGGTTTATGACACCTGCATTTGGGGAGTAATGGTTAAAAACTTCCAGTCAGGGAGGAACCTCATCATTTGAGTGTTTCGAGCTCCAGAGATGCTTCTGGAGGAGCTGGTTTAAGGTATTCACGAGGGGAAACCCTAAGACCTTTCAAAAACTCATACTCAGCCGCCAGTCCAGTTATCTCCGAGGTGGCCTGTGTGCTCTCAGCGTAAACCTCTGGGGGCTTGTCCCGGTGGCGCCAAAAGTCGGTGGAAGCGTCCGCGCTTTGCAATGGCTGTGGCGGTGACGTTTGGTGTGCCTCCGCCCAATCCTTTAGGCCGCTGGTAGAGAGAGACTGGGCGGAGCCGAGAGTAGCCATAGGAGGGGAGGGGGCGGGGCCGTGGCGGAGGCGGAGCCTATCGGGGCGGGCGCGGGGCTGCGGGTGGAGGAAGCTGCTCTGGCTCCCGCCCGGGAAGAGCCTTTATTCCTCGTCTTGCTCCGCCTCCTGCCCCCTTCGCTCCGCCTCCAGACGCGGTGGGGGCCGCGGGGCTGCTACTACCAGGTGAGAGCTCTGGCGGGGGGTCGAGGTTCCTGGGCTAGCTAGGCCCTCTTCGCCCGGTGGGGGAAGGGGAGAAGGGCTGGGGGCTTGAGAGCGCAATCGGGGGCTCGCTCCTGCAGCCTTGCGCCCCGGGGTTAGTAATGGTGGGGGTGCTCATGCTTCTGAGTCACTGGGACACGGCTGAGTGCGGACGAGGAAGCAGGATTTATCTCCATCCCCAAACGCACACTTATTCTCCCCAACACAAACTAGATTTGGTGAAAGGGTAGCCAGCCCCAGCCCAGTTCTTAGGAAACCTGGCTGGGAAAACGTTGTGTCAAAACACCTCTCTAGGATTATTGAAAAATGGGTGCCCTCTCCAGCCAGTCCTTCTCAGCCGAGGCTCCCCTCCCATCTCTGCGGAGAGAAGAGCTGCAAGAACTAAGGGCGATTCTTCGCTCCAAATTAATGACAAGGTACTCGGCTCCCCTTGAAGTTCCCATTTCTCAGCCTCTGTTCCCTCTCGGGCGCGGAGCCCTCTCGCCACCTGCTTTACACACTTTCCCTCCTCCCCTTGGATCCCCCGGCCAAGGAGGCTGAAGACTGAAAGAGTGGGCGTAGATGGGGAGGGGGCGGACGAAGTAGGTTCCAGGAGCCCTGCTACTCTCTTCCCCCAACCGGAGATGCGACTCCTCCGCCCTCCCCCACCCTTCCCGTCCCGAACGTTCGTGGTAGCCGTTTGCCCCAGGACAAGCGGGGGTGAGTGAGCCGGGAGATTTATTTGGAGCCTTGGAAAGGAGGGAGAGGTTGGCTGGAGTTGGCTTGGCTCAACCCCCCGGCGCGGAGAAGGCGGGGCACCTCTAGGCTGCGTGGGTCTGCTCTTCTCTCCTTGGGAGACTGCTCTGTGCCTGGGAGTCCCCTCCGAGGTGTGAGTGAGTGAACAGGGAATCTTGGGAACTGGCAGCCAAAGGTAGACTCATTTGACGGCTGTGGCCGGTGGCGCTCTCCCACGCTCGCCTGGGTCAGACTCTCCGAACCGGTCTGGATGGCACTGAGTTTCTCCGGCCAAAGGAAAGCTGTGTGGGAAACTGGGCTTGTTTCTGCCCTCTGTTGACCAGAGATAAGCGCTGGGTGAACAGTTCAATGCCTGTGTCCCCTGCAGCTTAAAGAGAATGCGGAGTGGGTTTTCTGTTTTACAAAAAGGAAGTAGCTGAGGACCTCTAGCTGGGGCGATTAAAATGTGTTTTAGTTTTGCAAGCTAGACTGTAGATCTCAGTAGATAAATTGTCCCCGCTCACATCCCCCCAACTCACATATTTAGCTTGTGAAATATTCAATATGGTAAATAGATGTGAGGATCTCTCAGTTTTAAGCATTTGTAGGTTAATTGTAAGGGAGAAATGGAAAAGATACCTCTGTGTCCCACCTGACAGTTCTGGGAAATACGAAATGAGAAAAGTATGGATTTTGGAGTCCGGCTGGAGGGTTCAAGACCGCCCTAAGCCTGCTAAACAGAAATGACAACTGAAAAAAAAAAATAGCCCGGCGTGGGGCGGCCTGTAGTCACAGCTACTTGGGAGGCTGAAGAAAGAGAATCGCTAAGCCCAAGAGTTTGAAGTTGTTGTGAGCTGTGATGCCACAGCACTCTACCTAGGGTGACACAGTGAGACTCTGTCTCAAAAAAAAAAAAAAAGAAAAAGAAAAGAAAAAGAAAGGTGTGGCTTTTTTTTTTTTAAATTTGAAAACAAGGGTTAAAAAACATCTAATTTAGCAAATTGCCTTTTAAAAAAATAAATAAAAATTGTGTGAGATTGAGACAGTCCTGGAAATTCCAAGCTGTTTAGACACAGTATAATTATTGTGGCAAGATCTGACCCTGAGGTGGCACCTTTTGTCAGGAGGAAGAGATTGACCCACAAGTAAATAGAGAGATGATTTATGGTATAATGTAATTGGGAGTCAACCTGTCCCTTAGTAGTAAAGAAGATAAAATTGGCCAACGTCACAGTTATAGGAGAAAGGCTTCATAGGGGAGAAAAGGGGCAATGAGACTTGAAACAGTCTCAGCTTCCTTGCTTTCTATATGTTCTTTTTAGCATTTTATAAGGGTAAAAAATGAACATAAAGTCTCAGAGATAATACTGTTAACATTTTGTTGTATGTTGTTATAGATATTTTGCTATGCAGTACATGTAAAATACATATATGTAACACAAGTATTTTGTAATCTTTTTAAAAGAAATCATGGACATCTTTTCATGTCGCTAAATAAGCCTCCACACATCACTTTAATAGCTGTGAATTTATCATTATTTAACCAATTTTCTTCTAATGTACAGTTAGTTTCTTTCCATTGTTTTGCTAGTAATTATAAACAGAGTGGCCATAAAGTTTGTAACTATTTAAATTGTACATGAACTTTATAGCCACCCTGTATTATCAACAGGAACACACTGCACACCCTTTTGGTCTATTTTGAGACCTGTTTAGTTCTTTGGGTTCCTGGAAAATAACTTTGCTGCATTGAAGTGTGTGCGATTTGAAGTTTTGATAAATAATGCCAAGGTATCTTCAATCTGCATGCCCACCATTAATGTATAATAGAAGCTCTTGTTGAACCAACTGAAGAGATACTACTAATAGTTTTTATTTCCCCCAGTGACAGCAAGCAACAGGGAGACATGAGAAATTGGATTGCATGCTACACTGGAGAACTTACTGGCAGGAGGATTACTTCCCAAAGAGACTAAAGTGAGTTGCAGGATGGCAAAAGAGGAGCCCCCGAGTACCACAAGGGACTTGCAGGAGTTGCAGAAGAAGCTGTCTTTGCTGATAGAGTCCTTCCAGAATAACTCAAAGGTCAGTTTCCAATCACTATGTATAGTGGAAAATCTCCAAATAACACTAGCATAAACAAGATAGGAAGTTATTTCTTTCTCAAGTAGAAGAAATATGGAGGTAAGCCAGGAATTTTCTAGCTCATCACTCTGCTGTGTCAAAATTGTGACCTTCACATTCATTGTCCAAGATGGCTACAACACCACTAGCTACCGTGTTCATAGTCCAGACAAAAAGATTAGAAGAGAGTGCAAGAGAGAGGTTTGCAAGACACCTCCTAATTAAGGAACCTTCCTGGAAGTCCCACATGATACTTTCAGTTACATCTCATGGGCCACAATTTAATCAGATAACCACCCCCTAGTGGCAAATACAATTCTTTAGCTGGATAAAGAACCATCTATATCCTCCTTTTGTTTTGTATTGATTTTAAGTTTAGCTTATCTGTTACCCTGAAAATATGGGGCCAAAGCCTATGTTAAGATTTGAGGCCAGTGTTCCACTAGAAATCTGGTGTCTAAGAGAAATTTTATATGAACCACATATGTAATTCAAAATTAATGTGTTTTATTTAACCTAATATATCAAAAAATCATTTCCACATTTAATCATTAAATAAAATGTTATTAATGAAAAAAGTTCTCGGTATGTCTTACTCTTTTTTTTTTGTACTAACTCTTTGAAATTCAGTGTGCATTTTACACTTACAGCATGTTTCAGTTTGAGTTAGTTGCTTTTCAGGTGTTTGGTGGTCAATCCGTGGCAATGGGACTTGAGATAGTATAGTTCCCTTTCTTGCATGTTTATCATTATTGATTTCTTTTATGTATCTTTCAGCATTTTGTCAGAAGGAAAAAGCAGCTTTCAGAGATAGTACTATTAACATTTTGTTGTATGTCTTTCTGGACTTTTAAAAAATGTGGTATATCCATAAAAATACATGTGTATATGTAACAAAATGAATTGTTTCGTGATCTAGTTTTGTATTGCATAGCACATTTCCCCTAGGGTCTACTTGAGGAGATACTTCTTTGAGTTCTAGAACAATATACAGAGATCTTTTCTGGACTCACTCAGAATGTATCTGGCATTATTTGTGGACTTACCAAGCTATTTTTATATCAGAGAAACAACTTTCTAATCAGCTGGCTGAAACTCTTATTTAAAAGTCTACCTCAGTAAGGAAGGTCCTCATGCCTTTTCCACATTTATAGTTGATTCTCATGACTCATGATAGTTAAATTCTATAAATTCACTGCAGACACTGAATTAGTAAATACTGAACTATTGCTTCTAGGGGAAATAGTGGATTCAGTTGTTTCAGGCCTTTGGTTACAACATTCTCATCAATTGATCAGTACATAACCTTGTTTTATGTATATTTCTGTTTAAAGATATATTCTTTTACTATATAGTAGATTCTCCTACTACTCTAGTTGACCATCTCCCTATATTGACCACCTCCTTAGACTGGGCATGTATCACCTGTACTTATCAGTACAGTAGGCCTAGATCCTTATGTTGACCACCTCCATATGTTGACCAGTTTGTTACAGTCCCTTGGGTGGTCAGCTTCTACCATATATTGGTGATCATTTACATTGAACTTAGGACTGTGACTCAACCTTGAGCAAAGTTTATTTAACATGTGTTTTCTCTGTCTTTTCTTTCTTTCTTTCTTTCTTTTGAGACAGAGTCTCACTCTGTCACCCTGGGTTGAGTGCGTGGTGTCATAGCTTATAGTAATCTCAAACTCTTGGGCTTAAGTAATCCTCTTGCCTTAGCTTCCTGAGTAGCTGGAACTACAGACATGCTGCATGATGCCTGGCTAATTTTTCTATTTTTAGTAGAGATGGGGTTCTTATTCTTGCTCAGGCTGGTCTCGAACTCATGAGCTTAAGTGATCCTCTTGCCTTGGCCTCCCAGAATGCCAAGGTTATAGGTGTGAGCCACTGTGCACAGCATGTATTCCCTCCATAAGGCACATAACAGCCTTCTTGTGCTTAGAAACACTAGACAACACTTAAGCACTACATTTGGGGACCATTTTAAACAGTGAAGTCACCAACACAAAACACAAAATTATGACACTAAATACACCACAATAAGGACACTTGTTTAAAGAGCTGCAATAAGAAGGCAGAATGCCACCTTGCTTGACTTTAGCTGGGAATGTACCTATCAGGTGACTCAATTTTTCACTGTTATGTGTCCACTAAAGGCCTCGACAGTGCTACAAGTATTGATTTTGAGGTTACAAATAAATTTTAGTGAGTAGATGAATTCACAAATATGGAATCTGCTAATAATAAGGATTGGCTATATATTTATTGAGCACTGACTCTATGCCAGGCAGTTGGCAGGCCTTCACCTAGTTAAAATTCATTTCCACCTTCTGAAGTAGGCATTTTGTAGCAGGTGAACTTGCTTCTTGGAAATTTCTTCACCCCTTCACATCAGATCCTCAACCCTGTTCACTGAAATAGGTTTGGGCTAGTTTGGGCTAAATAGCGACCAGGCCCAGTGATTCCCAGGATGATTAGAATAATTATTGGTTATCTAAATTCTGATGTTCTTCAGATAGTAGTCCTGAGGTAGAGTAGTATCTTCCAAGCTTTTTATTATATCAGTTTATTAACTAATATTAATTGTATTAACAACTCAGTAGAGTGATAGTGGAGGAAAAAGGAGAGCAAGTTCCTTTTAAACTCATAATTACAAATCCATCTGTGGTGATTATTATGATGATGATGATTATCATCCTTTTTGGTATGTCAGTTTTACACGGTAGTTGTTGTAATCATGGCAGATACAGTTCTGTGTTTTTATTTTTGCTTGATGTTATAGCCGGCTGTTTTTCCATACTGAAGCATAGGCCTTCAGAACAGTTGCTTTCCCTGGAAGAACATCAGCAAAGCACATCAGATCAACATATTGTAATTTAATTTTACATAGCCTTCCTCTGTCTCTAGGGAATGTAGATGATTTCTTTCCCCCAAGTAATTTTTACCCTCTCTTTAGACATACATAAAACCTTTGAACTCCAGATAAGAATAGATGGACTTGCAGATGGAGTGTGTATGAGACAACTCCATTGTCTCCTCCAAGAAGCCTCTGGAGTGCATGGTCAAACCTTAATTGTCTTACTTTTAGACTGAGAAGGATAGAAACCTGCTCAAAATAGTTTAAGCAAACAAGCAGATCAACAGGTGGGACCTGCCTGGAGTTTTTGGGAATTGAAGGCAGTCTTAGAAACCAGGAGGAGGAAGTGAAGCCCAGGCAGAGCCTTAGAAGGAATTAGAAAAAGGATCTGGCAGGTCACTGGGGTCAAAGGTAACTCCCAGCATCCTCTCTTGGGCTGTGCAGCTTCTCATCTTAGCTTTCCTTGTGTATCTGCTTCGTTCTCCCCTTCCTGCAGCCTGGCTCCCTTGGCTTTTCCATTCACATGGGCAAATGTGGTTGTCCAGGCTGGCATCTTCAATTCCTCACGTCTCTCAGCTGATGCCCTCTAAGGGACCTGGTCTGGGCATCTCAGTGCCCCATTCCTAGGAACAAGAATCTGGTTGGCCCTGTTACCTGTGGCAAAGGAGGTGGCAGCTGGGTGGGTGCGTTTTGTTTTACTGATGTAAAGTGACCCCTGAAAGGGCCATTTCCAGGGAAGAGGAGGAGAGGTGGAAGATGGGCTGGGCTGATAACCACAGATGGTGTGTCCTTGTATGGAATATTTGTGACAAAATAGTTTTGCTCCCATGCTGGAGGTTTCCTAGAACAAAAGATATTTTTGAACAACCTCTCAGGCACCACCGTGCTAACCCTGTATTGCATGCCAGTGGGCACCCAGGGACAGTAATCTGAGAGAAACTATCATAGCACTCTTGACTTGTCATCGCCAGAGGTTTTAAATGGTCCTGATACCTCTTGCCTTTCTCCTTTCTGGTAGCAAGAGACAGTGAATCACTGAGTATCTTTTTCACTCTGACACCAGCCAGTGTTCAGCCTGGCTCCTGAATAGTCCCAGGTGAAGGCTTTGTGTCCTCTGGCCACTTTGTCCCTACTTTAAAACCTCCCATGCTTAGGAGTATTAACAAATAAATCACCTTTGTCTGACCTTGCACAAGTCATTTAGACTCATTGAATTTTTATCTCCTCTTTTCTAAAATCAGCACTGCCAGGCTCATAGATTTGTTGTGAGGGTTATCTGAGATGCTGTTTGAAAAGGCTTCAGCACAGAGCCTGGCACATAATGGTGCCAGCCTGTCGCAGGCTGGCCTTCCTGGGTTCTTCAAGTGCAGCACAGTGCCTGTAAAACCTGGGTTGGGTAACTCCTATCTGTCTCCAGGATGGGGACAGAAAGGTGCGGCTCTTGTTACTAGATAATCTCTTCCACTTTCCATCTTCCCATTGCGTCCCCCATTGTCATTAGCATGAAAAGTTAATTGCTATGTTCTAAACCCTTGGGTTTAGATAGTGTTAAGTTGTTCTTTGTTATCTTCCTTGAAGTATTGTAGGGAGAAAGAAATGAAATACATGGAGAATGCTTAAAACGGCCTGGCACCTGAATGTTTGCTGAATGTTCTCTGTTACTGTTAGGCATGGCTGGAATGTGTTCTGGCCTCCTGTGATAGACTGGCCTGAACCCAGCCATTCTGCCTGGGAGAAAATAATTGTTGGGTTTAACTGTCTGAGTCTTAAAATGATCTCTTGGCTATCTGAATAACTTTTTATTTTTTGGTTGTAGACCTTAGGCACGGAAAAGGAGACGATAAAAAAAGTGGATTCTATAAGAACTATAAGGAGAACAGTCTTGCCTTTTCCTTTTGGATCCCTTGTGCCACACTAAGTCCTGTTGATTTTTCTTTTGTTGTTCCACTTTGCTATATTACATCTCTCCCCACTCTGCCATCAGCCTAGATTTGGCCATCAGTGTATCTTGCTTGCATAGATGTATATGACTGCTAAGTTCATCTTGCTCCATGATGATTTTTTTCCTAGATAAAAAAGTTCAAACAAGTGCTGTCCAACAGAAATATTGCATAAGCCACGTATGTAAGTTTTCGAGTAGTCACATTAAAAAACATAAAATGGGCTCAGCATACCTGTGGCTCAAGTGGCTAAGGTGCCAGCCACATACACCTAAGCTGGTGGGTTCGAAACCAGCACAGGCCCACCAAACAACAATGACGGCTGCAACCAAAAAATAGCCAGGCACTGTGGCAGGCACCTGTGGTCCCAGTTAGTTGGGAGGCAGAGGCAGGAGACTCGCCTGAGCCCAGGAGTTGGAGGTTGCTGTGAGCTGTGATGCCACAGCACTCTACCTAGGGGGACAGCTTGAGGCTTTATCTCAAAAAAAACCCCCAAAAACAAAAAACCAAAAACATAAAATGCAACAATTGAAATTTATTAAAGTAAAATATTTTATTTAACCCAATATATCCCAAACACTCTAATTTCAACATGTAATTAATATAAAAATCATTAATAAGATATTTTACACTCTTTTTTTCATATGCTTGGAGCACCTCTCAATTCAGATGCCAAGTTTCCATTGGAGATACTTGACTTCTATTTAGATATTATAAAATTTAATAGTTGAACAAAATAGATTCCACACATCTAATCTATTTGAAACATACTTAAATATTTTCCCATGGCTGAGTCAAATACTAGCTTTAAAATATAAGTTAAATTCAGGTAGACATCCAGGCCATCAGTCACCCAGGAACATTTCAAATGCTGCCTGGCCACAGGTGGTTGCTGTGCTGAACAGCCCAGGTGGGAGCCTATAAGCCTGGAGTCCTGGTGTCCCTTCCTCACTGGCTCCTCCCACCCTGCAATGCTCCCCTTGCTGGCATGGAAAACTCACTGTGCACTGCTGCTTCCCTCTCCTGGACAGTCCAGCTGCTCTTCCCCACTATGGTTCTTGGGGCTTTTTGGATTGTAAAGATCAGACAGAACAGTTCAGTCTGCCAGGTGACATAGGGGCCATTGACTAAGGGTGCACATGGATTAGAACGAGAAAAGTGCTCAATACCTGAAACAGTGCCTGGGACCAGCCCCCCTCTGTGTGGTGACTCCCACAGCCCCTCTGCCTCTCCCTCCCCTTCAGCTGCCCCAACTCAGGAAGGATCTCATCTCATTATCATCTCAGGAGAGCTCTGATAATGGAGGGTCTGAGCTGGGCACCTCTGGCTAGAGAAGGTGAACAGCAGAGTGTTTGGTGGCTTTTGTTAGAATGAGGTGGCAGGAGACAGGGTGGCCAGTGGGTATTATGCCAATTTCTGGCCTGGAAGGAAGTGAAATTTGCCATGCCTCGAGAGTTCTCCGTAGGAGGCAGTGCTGAAACCCCAAGCTAGATGGCTGTGGCTTCTTAGCATGGCCTTTTCTCTTTAAGTAGGGTGAGCCTTAGCAGTTTGCTTGCCATCAGCATGAACTACAAAACCCTCCTGCCTTCCAGCTTGCCCTGAAATTCCCATTTGGATCATTGTGTGAACTATTATTTCTGGGAAGCACATGTATTTTTGAGGACTTCAACTATGTCTTCATTTCAGCTGCTGGCTTGCAAAGCCCTAAGGAATGAGATGTAGGAAAGACTAGTTATGATGGAAATTCTCAAGAGAATACAGCCTAGAAGGCCAGTGCTGAGGAGAGAAGAGGCCTTGGCCTAAGAAGCATGGGGAAAGCCTTGGCCAATTCTGCATTAAGCCTTCTGCCATTGAGCCAGATCCAAAATTCCTTTTGCTGGGTGAAGGAAGGTGACATTTATAAACACGGCATAGGGTTTCAGAGTCATCAGGCTGTGGCCAACTATGGTAGCCAGGTTGATGACATAAAACCATTTTTACCCAATTAGGTAGCTGCTATTGCAAGCAAATGACATTTTGAGTAAAACACCTTAGCTTTCAATGTCTGGATTTTGCTTCTTGGAAGCCATGTGACTCTAGGTAATCATTTAATCCATTGCTTCTCAATCTTCAACCCCTTAAATAGAAATCTTATTTAAAAAGGAAAATCTGATTCAGCAAGACTGGGGTGGGGGCCTGAGATCCTGCATTTCTGACAAGATCCTAGGTGATGCCAAATAGCTAAGCCTTTATTTCTTTGTGCCTGAGTGGCTTCAACTATGTGAACCTCCGCGGTAAAGCAAAGGAGGCAAACTGTATGTCCATGACATCAATGCACACATGTGCTGGAGAGGTCCTCTGAGAGGGCATGTGTTTAGCAGGTAAGCCATGACTAGGTCTTTCCTTCTTTCACAAGAGCTGTCTTGGATGAGGCCCTCAAACTCACCACCTGTCCACAGCTGCCTTGAAATTCTTGCCTGGCTGACTCTCGCTTGTTATAGTGACCTTTTACATATGAGCCTCCAACTTTATGATCCTGGTTATACTTCCCACAGCTTGGGTGGATCCAGTAAACCTGGGGTTCAGACATAGCACTTAATCCTGCTCTTTGTCCTTTGTTTACAGGTGGTTGCCTTTATGAAGTCTCCGGTGGGCCAGTACTTGGACAGGCATCCTTTCCTAGCCCTCACCTTGGTGGTATTCATTGCTGCGTCAGCTGTTCCTGTTGGGTTTTTCCTGCTCCTTGTGGTGCTTACCTCCCTGGCGGCTCTTGTGGGGGTCATACTACTGGAAGGTAGCCTGCTCAGTTATTCACCACCCTCCGGAAAATGACTTAATTGGAAGCACAGTATTTTCGGGCCTCTGCCATTGCTGTGAGAGTTTCCTGTTCTCAAAATCACATCAAACAAGGGAGCTTGGTAGAGTAGTTAAAACAAGGACACTGGTGGCTACATTAGAATTCCACCCATACCACGTGATTTTTGACAACTTATTTTCCCTTTTTGAGCCTCTGATTTTTCATATGTAAAATAGGGATATAATATTACTATCTCAAGGGTTTGTTGTAAGGATTGAAACTTGTACTTCCATAAAATCCTTAGCCCTGGGGGCGGACCCTGTGGCTCAAAGGAGTAGGGCGCTGGCCCCATATGTCAGAGGTGGTGGGTTCAAACCCAGCCCCAGCCAAAAAAAACTGAAAAAAAAAATCCTTAGCACTATACATGGCACAGAGTAGCTTCTCAGTGAAAACTAACTAGTATTATTAGTGCAACCATTCATTCCACAGGGAGTTATTGAGCACCTGTTGCATACCAGGTACTTTGGCAGGTACTGGAATCTACCTTCTCCACCTTTTGCCTAAAGTCCCACAGCCAACTGTCAACTTCCCTTTATGTTACTAGTTAAAATTACTGGGAGAGCAAATCTGATTGGCTCAGTTTGCCTTTTCAAATCAGATCAGACCCCATAGGATAATGGTCAAAGAGATGATGGTTTTCAGGGGGTTGGGTGATTACTTCCATTCATTTCTTGGCTTCCCAGAGCTAAGAGCACCCAGGCTTATTTCCTTGTCCAGGAGACTTTGGACAGTTTATACTCAAAGGAAAAGGTGGGCATGGTAGGCAAATGAGCCAAATACAGATTGGCAGCATTTATTCAGTAAATATTGATAGGGAGACGGGAAAATGAATGACGGGCAGAGGAATGGTACCATAACAAAAGAAATTTGGAGAGAAAGAAGGGAGCCATTATATTTTGGCTGTATGCAAAGCTTTATAGCAGACAAGATTTTAAAGATGGATAACAACTTTGTCTCAGGGTAGGCAGGGAAGGGCTTTTGGACAGGGGACTAGCATGTACAAAGCCTTTATAGCAGTGGTTCTTGAACTTGAATATTTCTAAATTTTACTTCCGTTTTGAAAATGCAGACTTTCAAGCCTCATCCAGCCAAAGTTCTTTTACTAGGTCTGGAGTGGAGTTTAGAAATCTGAACTTTTTAGCCAGCTTCCCTGATGCATCTGATTCTAATTCAAAGTATGGTTGATGGCCACACACTGAAAAACACTGACTTAGGATTTTTAAAATATTTGTGAAAAGGCAGCACATCTGTTTCTATTTTCTGCCTTCCTGCCTTTTCAGGGTCCATCCTTGAACCCTTCACTGTGACTGTGGGGATGGAGGACTGGGCTGTTAACTGTTCCAGGGGTGAAGGGAAGGATCTTTGCCACACAACATGTGCCATGTTATTTGTTCTACATGTTTTTTCCCTTGTACCTTTTGCTTTTGTTGCCCCATAGACCCCCATGTTAGGAAAAATGTATTTTCCTTATACTTATTATATGGTAATTTATTAATATTCCTATTTAAAAGTATCCAATGGTAGGTAAAAATGACCAATCAGACCTTATGATTAAAATGTGATAGTTGTGAAGGATAACATCAAAAGCTGCATTTAGATTTTACTTTCTTTAGCCTGCACAGCCTTCATACCTGTAGCTTGTAGGTTAGTGTCAATAATAGTATTCTCCAGGTGGTCTGAGACATTGGAGATACTGCCTTGGCTGACTCCTCCTGGGATGTACTAGGAGCCCATCTCTGACCTTGAGGATGAGGGGCTTTCAAACTCAAATACCTGCGGGCAAGACAAAATGAATGACGTAGCACGAGTATAATACAATTTGGAAATGGTCGGGACAGAAGGCAACAGGAGAGCTAGGAAGTTGTTACCATGCCATCATGCCCACTCAGGTGGCCAGATCACCTACTTTTTCTAATGCCAGAAATCTGGATTTTTAATGGAAAATCTCCTTACTTGAAAGAAATGTGAGTTACTTGTCATTATTTTATACAAACTGGCCCAGGGTCTGCCAGTTTTCAACCTGTTTTAGATGAAGGCTCCTCCTAACCATGTTCTCCTCCTAGGCCTGGTCATCTCTGTGGGCGGCCTCTCACTGCTTTGTGTCCTCTGTGGCTTGGGCTTCGTGTCACTCGCCATGTCAGGGACCCTCATGGTGTCCTATGTGGTGATCTCCAGCCTTATCAACTACTGGTTTTCTCCCAGGTAAATACATGTTGGGGAATAATTTAACCTTTGCCTTTTGGAGGGATGTTTGCAAATAAAACCCTAACCCCTGTGGATGTCCAGAAGCAAAATCGTAAGAGCTGGACATTTCTCATAGCTCCCCATACACCTCAGACATCAGATGGGAATTTTTGATGGAGTTTCAAACAAAAGCTGTTGCTTCCCTTTTCCGTGCCGCACATAACTGATCTCATTATCAGAGCAACTCTGCAAGGTAGTTATTATTGATTCCATTTATGGGCATGTGGCTTAGTAAGTAGGGCACTGGCTCCATATACTGAGAGTGGTGGGTTTGAACCTGGCCCTGGCCAAATTGCAACAAAAAATAGCCGGGCATTGTGGTAGGCACCTATAGTCCCAACTACTCAGGAGGCTGAGGCAAGAGAATCACCTAAGCCCAGGAGCTGGAGGTTGCTGTGAAGTGTGATGCCATGGCACTCTACCAAGGGTGACAACGTGAGACTCTGTCTCTAAAACAAACAAAAAAAAATTCCCGTTTAATTTATGAAAGTCAAATTGAGGTGTTTTTTTTTGGTTGTTTTTTTTGGAGGATGGGGTAGGGAGGAGACAATGGAAGAACAATGGAAGAAAAATGACCTGCCATTCTCTTTAACATACCTGTCCCCAGAGTACTATGGAAGCTGTAAATCTCCTGCCCCCAAACTCTGCCTTGATCCCCTCTGCTCTTCAGAGTGTGACTTTTTCACCAATTGAGTATGAGCCTGTGTTTGGGTACATTGATTCTATTCCTACGGTATGGCTGCTAAATGCCAGCTGCTTCATTTGGGGACTCAACTGCAGAGAACAGCGGTCTCTGTAGGTGCTGGAGGGAAACCTAGCTGTGTTGACATTGCTGGGAGACACTGTGTGTGTCTATAATGTGCCACCTTCCTAGGGAATTTGCAACGGTGATTTTTTTTTTTTTAATGTTTGATTTTTGTCTTATGTGTTGATTTCAGAACCTAAGTCCAAATTCCACTGTATTTCATTTAAGCACTTGCTAAAGGCATGATAGTGGCTATTAAGCACTTGCTCTATGCCAAGGCCTCTTTCTAGTACTCTTCAGGCCTATCTCATGTAATCTTCATAACTTGCTCCATTCTGTGATAAAGAAAATGATGCCAAGTCCCAAAGCTGAGAATAGCACAGAAAAGACTTAAATCCAGGTCAGTTAATTCCAAAGCCTTCTTAGCCAAGATACAGAGTGACCCTGTAAAATAGGGGTCAGCAAACCATTTTTGAAAGCGCTAGCTAGTTAATATTTCAGGCTTTGCAGGCCATGCAGTCTCTATTACAACTAACCAACTCCGCTACTGTAGCACGAAAGCAGCGTGGATACTAAAGAAATGAATGGGGCATGGCTGTGTTCTAGTAACATTTACTTTCAAGAACAGGTGGCTGGCTAAATTTGGCCCAAGGACTACTCAATGTTTGCCAACACTTGGTCTAAAAGAACCTATATCCTAACTTTTGTTTTTCTACCAAATAGCCCTTGAAATTCTTACTAAGTGGTTATCCTAGTTTTATATGTATATATATTTATCTCCTGTTGTTTATAATATGTCAAAAAATAAAGGATGAAGTGGCTATAATTTGAAATCACTCTCACAGAGATGGGTGCTTCTCACTGGGTTGCTTCACTGGTATCCTTGGAATCACGTGCAGCTCCTCATAAATTGTTTTGCTCACACTCAGTCTTAGATAAAGGAGATAAAAGGAGAAATATTGCCCTGTGTGGCTTATTGAGGGTGATGCTTTTGGACCGAAATCCCACCCTGTCCCTGAACCCTGCTGTAGTAGGATAACTTCTTAAAAATTATACCATAGGAAGTAGCAAAATCTGAATGCCTATTTATCAATAAGAGACTGAAAAAGATATCTAGGACTTGTTCTTAATCTCTGTATCCTCCCGATTCCTTCCATTCAGTTATTTTCACCTGGGCAGAGGTTCTCAAGCTTTTTGTTCTCAGGACACATTTTACCGTCTTAAGAATTATTGAGGTATCCAAAACGTTTTTGTTTATGTGGGTCAAATGTATTGATAATTGCTCTATTAGAAATTATATAGAAATTTAAAAAATTTATTCCTTTAAAAGGAACAATATTATCTGTTGATATAAATAACATATTTTAATGAAAAGTAACTATATTTTCCAAAACAGAATGAAATTCTCAAGTGGCATTGTTTTACATTTTACAAATCTAATGTCTGCCATAACAGAAGTGAGGTGGGTTCTTACTTGTGTGTCTGCATTCATTCTGTTGTGATATGTCGTTCTGCTTAAAGTACATGAAGAAAACTCAGCCTCACAAATGTGCAATTGGGAAAGGGAGGAAAAGCTTTTCCAGATGACTGTGGGTATTCTTCTGTGAAAATACACAAAAACTCCCTTAAGCAGTAGTTTTGTAAATGACAGTTGAAATTTTTGTACTCTTTTATATTAAAATATGCCAATCTACCTTATACTTTCAATGTATCTTTACCATGCATGATTTTACAACTTCATGCATTGATCATTTGGAGAATAGTGGTTTATTGAGTCATGCAGATCTTCCAAATAAACTGTCAGAAACTGCACTGTTCCCTTTTGAGAGAAGGTGAATAAAAAAGATGCATGTTTTGTTATTACTAACATAGTTGTCATCTGAGAACTGCTGCATCAGTAAATTCTTTAAAACTCAAGGAAAAGATAACTTCTTCCTTAAATGATCCAAAGCATGGGATGGGGCAGGGAAGAGCAGATATCCAATTCATTACATGATTTAATGGGATTTTGATCCTAAACCCTAACAGATGATAAAACTAAAATTTCTTCAAAAGAAAAGAAAATGATATCCTTACTTATGTAAGTCAGCTAAATATTCTTTTGATGGAATACATTGTAGCTGCCTCCTGTTTAGATAAACTAGCCTCTGAGGAGGAGAGATCATGCTGTTTTGTTATAGAAGCAGCAAGACCTGCTAGGGCCTGTAGTTGAGGGGAAGTGTAGAGCTAGGGAAGCCTGTGTTTATTTGTAGAGCCCCTCTCCCCGCCAAGTTCTTTACCCCACACTCTCTAAGCAGCCAGAGCATGCCTAGACTCTTCACAGGTTAAGAAGAGAAAAGGCTTCTTAGGTTTTGTTATCAGGTAGGAATGCTTTAGGTGGCAAGTAATGGAAAAAAAGCCAAAGCAGATCCAGCGTAAACCAACAGATTTTTACTGCTTAACAAAAAGCTGGAGACAGCCCAAGGCTGGTGTGGCTGCTCTGTGGTATCACCGACATACCAGGCACCTTCTGCATTTCTGTGTAGGCCATCCTTAACCCACATTGGTCTGCCACCTCATGGCCACAAGATAGCTGCCCACAGCTCTGGGAACACCAGGTACATTCAAGACAGGATGAAAGGAGAAAAAAAATGAATGTCCACCAAGTAAGTCTGACCCTTTTTATTAAGTAAGTGAATTGTTCTCCCAGAACCTCTCCCTATACTCCCTCAGCAGACATCACTGGCTTCAACTTTGTCAGATGGCCACTCCAAGCTGGGAGTGTTTCTTATCTTCTGTAGCATGAACTTCTAAGGAGAAGGGTGTTGGGAATGCATGCTGGTCAGCCAAGCTCTGGTATACGTTGTAGTTTTTCATAGTGGGGCATCAAGGCTACTTGAAGTTCAAAGATAATCTATAGATCCAATTAAGTTAATACTAGTAGTGCCGCCTCACTCCTCTGACAGGCTTCTGAAACCTTCAGTCACAAGGACTGAAAAGACAGTTTCTCTTCCTTCACCCCCCCAACTCCTCTCCACTGAAGGCATCAAAAAACTAAATGGAATCCAAAGATATGGGTGTGAATCCCAGCTCTGCCGTTTTTTAACTGTGTAATCTTGAACAGCCTGTTTAACTTCTCTGATCTCTTTGTTTCCATTGCTAAAGTAGCTACTCCTTGCTTTACCTTTCTCAGTTAATTGTGAGGACACAGACAGTATAGGAAAATGCAACATCCAAATTAGAAGAGGGGAAAAGGGTCATAACTCTCCCCCCAACCCAGTCATTCCAACCTCCTGTGTTCTATGTTTCCTCGTCTATAAAATGGATACAGCCCCTCCCAGCCCCCAGCCCCATCTGGTATGGTTTGAAGAAGCAGCTAAGAATAAACTAGGAAAGGACATCAGGTATTTAGCTGTACACACACTTAATGTTGCTCTTTGAAAGAAGCCCTGGAACTAACCATTTTTTCTTGTTACCAAGCAGACCCCTGACACAGCAAAACCCCAGTGGTGAAGGTCAACTGGCTATGAAGTCTGCAGACTTTGAGGGGCTCTACCAGGAATAACCCTCTGAACAGAATCGGAGCTTCTTTCAACATCTCGGAAAAGCTGTTGAATCCTACTTGCCCATTGGGATTATGACTCAGAGAAGGGGGCTGAGTAGTCAAGCACTCCTTGGCTGTGTCCTCTAGCTTTTTCACTGTTTGTGGTACCCTGCAGTGGCCAGTGTGGGGGATCATGTTGCTCTCATGTTGGTTCTGTTGGCTGACCCACCCTCTCAGAGCAAATCAGCCAAGAAATGTGACAGCTTAGCAGCTGGTCCTGCCTCTCCTCCTCACATCCCCCAGTATGCTGACTTAACTTGGCAGGGTCCTGGGCATCTAGAGATTTAACCCCTGATTCCCGCAAAGGCTATGTCCAAAGGCCCAGTTGAGGGCAAACACGTACTGTTTTTAGTGTTTTGTTTAACTGTTTTTGTTTCTTTTTTCACTTATTCGAAACAAAAAGTGGGAAAAAAAAATCCAGAACAGAACCATCTCTTCTGTCTTAATGGGTTTTTATCAGAAAGAACAGCAGCATTTGGAAATAATGGCCCCTTTAAGTTGGAAAACAGAGTCCAAGTGTAACTTTGGCCAAGACTCTTTTTGAAAAAATCTAAAGGTATAGTTTCCACTGTTAATTGCTGCTAATCTTTTAAACATTTGGATATTTACACTTCATGTTTTATATCATTTTAAATCATTTGTCCTATTAATCTATTTCTTTGAAAAAAAAACTAAAACACTACAAAGTAAAAATAAAACATCCTGTGGGATTTTTCAGTGGAATTCTTCAGTGGCTTATCTGCTGTGGCATTTTGTTAAATATTTATTTGGGTGGGCATTTTTTCCTTACTCCCCCCCCCAACACCTCTACCCATCCCCTAATTACATCAGACCTGCCTATTGCTTCTCTGTCAAAAAAAATGAATGTCCACCAAGTAAGTCTGGTGGACAGCAGCTACTAAATAAAATGGCCTTTTTAGTTGCTAGTGACAGACACTCAATTCAAAGTTGCTTTAAAAGAAAGGCAGGGTGGTGTTGGGAGGGATTAGATTCACTCAACCAAAATGCCAAGGGGTAGGTAGATCTTTAGGCACCCTTGGATCCCGGAGCTCAGGTGATGTCATTAGGCATCTCTCAGCTTGTTTTCTTTGTTATTGTTGTTGTTGTGAGTTGCCTTATCAGGCAGGCCTGCCCCATGCGGAGGTCCCAGCAGCTCCAGACTGGCCAAAAAAGCTGCTGTTTTCCAACAAGTATTCCGGGTTTAGTTCTGATTAGACAGACTTGGGTCATGTAAACTACCCTGAACCAATCACAGTGGCCAGGATGATGGACAGGGCTGTGTTCATTCAGAACCCTGGGAGGGGAGAGCTTAACTTCCTAGAACTTGGAAATTTCCAAGTTCTATGAAATCCTATAATCCCCTCCTCATGATAGGGGATGCTGGGGTGCAGAGAGACAGGAGCAGGCTCCCAAAGGAGTGTGAGAAGAAAATGAGATGTTTGCTTGACAGACAAAAACAAATGGCTGCTACTTGTCACAGAGAAGCCTAAAGCTTTAATTTGGTACAAACCTTTCTGCATCCCATGACATTCCCATACTGACACCAAAGATGGATTCGTCTCCATTAGAGAACAAGAACTGCTTGGTCCTGCTAATACCATGGGGCATTAATATTAAGAATTACTGTTTAGTGTGGTCCCTGTGGCTCAAAGGAGTAGGGTGCTGGTCCCATATGCTAGAGGTGGTGGGTTCAAACCCAGCCCCGGTCAAAAACTGCAAAAAAAAAAAAATTACTATTTACTGAATGTTCCTTCATGCAAGTATCTGACATTAGCTATAACATATACGCCATCTACCCAGCTAGGTCTTCCTACTTTCTATAATTCAAAAATGCTTAGCATGTCAAAGCACCATACTTGTCCTTTATGCCTGAACACTGTTTTCTGAGATGGGAGGTGTGTGAAAATCCAAAGTCAGAAAAGCCTTCTTCACCCCCAGAGGATGTGTCGAGTGGACAGTTGGCTCAGAGAGTAGGTCTGGGCTGGGGATACAGGTCTGGAAGTATTTTCTACACTGAGAGATTTACACCGCCCTCTTGTGGGATGCTTTCTAGAGAGTGGTCAAGAGATAGTCTTAAAATATTTTTCTTTCTTTCTTTTCTTTTTTTTTTAGAGACAGTCTCACTTTATTGCCCTCAGTAGAGTGCTGTGGCATCACAGCTCACAGCAACTTCCAACTCCTGGGTTTAGGCGATTCTCTTGTCTCAGCCTCCTAAGTAGCTGGGACTACAGGCATCCGCCACAACACCCAGGTATTTTTTTGTTACAGTTTGGCCCAGGCCGGGTTTGAACCCACCACCCTCGGTATATGGGGCCAGCGCCCTACTCACTGAGCCACATATCACATAAACATTCTTGCTCCAAACTCTGACAAGTATGAAGTGCTTTCCCATGGCATGTATAAGTGCTACTCTTACGAATCAATTTATAATCAAAGACCAATCACAAACTTCCCCTGCCTGCTTCTCATTTTTTATGTTCCATCAGTCTCTGGACTTTAGAGATGAAACCAAGGTTTAAAAACTTAAAATGACTCACCCAATTCAGCAGAGAAACATAGTAAAGGAAGGCTATGCAATTATTATCAGGCTCTGTTCTTTACACTGCATGGGCAAAGACCACTGAAATTGTTGCAAGAAGACACAGCCCAATGGAGAGAAAGAGCACCCAAATACTACGTTTATAAGAGGAAGGGCTTTATTCACCAGCTGGGAGCTTACGGCATAGAAGAATTCGAAATGGCTGTGCTCCCTAACTGGCTTGGTCTTTCACTTTTTATTGATAGTCAAAAAGTTCCACCCCACAGGTACCCTTCTCATTGGCCAATTTGAATCAAGTGGGAGATACTATTCCAGCCCCTATAGAACTATAGGATTTCACAGAACTTGGAAATTTCCAAGTTCCAGGATGTTAAGTTTACAAATTCCCAAGAGCTGAGTCACCGTGGAGAGGACCCTGCAGGTGTATCCTTGTGGTCTCCTTGAGAAGACCTGTTCTCCTAGACCTCACCCTTCTCAGGTATCCTGTGTCAAAATGAAGTGAAATAATGTAAGAATCCCAGCACAGTACCTGGCACAGAATAAGCCCCAAATGTATGGCCACAAGAATCATTTAAAACTGGGTAAAACAGGGATGTGTAAAAGGCCTATTGTTATTAACCGAGCTGTGGAGGATCATTAAGGACTTAAGGGCAGGTTACTAAAAAGGCATCATTGGCCTTTTAGATATAGCCCCATATGTAGCTCCTTTGATAGACAGTTAATCCTCAGAACACGCAAATTGTGACCTTATACAGTCATAATGGTAATTCACCACTAGGTCCAGGGGTTTTGTTTATTTTTAAGCATTTGCCATGTGCTGGGTGCTATTTTAAGTCCTGTACATATCATGTTTTCAGTAAATCCACACTACTACCCATTTTAGAAATAAGGAATCTGAAAGACTGAGAAATTAAATTGCCTAAGGCACATAGAATTAGAAGCAGGATTGTCTGATTGCAAAAGCCACCCTAGCAACAGATATGCTATCAAATGTTAACTTCTTTGCCTACCTTTGAGGCCTTGTGTTGTTTGGTCCCATTCTCCAATATGTTGTGGGGACAGTACCTGTGACCTTTGCTGTTGTGTGGAATAACTCTAGGGATCACCAGTTGTGTGGGATGAAATGCAAACGGTTGGTGGATTGTGCACAGAATAGTATGATCTCTGCCACCTTCTCTGTGTGGCTTCTATTGTCTTGCTTTGCATAGCATAGCAGGGCCCAGCCCAGTAGTCATGCACTCAGGTGTGGCAAGATCAAGCGTGAGTTGTCACAAGGTTGAAGATGACGAACAGTACTTTCATTTATATTCTGATGTACTTCTTTGAGTAGAAAAGGTAGAGCTAGAGAGAGGAGGTGGAATTTGAGAATAACCTCTGTGCTCTGCCACCCTGCAAAATATATGTACACATGCATACACATACCTTTAGGGATTGTACACAAACTCCCTGAATGCTTGGTAAGAGTTATGACAATTATGTATTTTTAAAGTACTTTCTTTGCCTTTCTGGGGGAAAGGAAGGAAGGGGGATTATATCCAACTGAGTATGGCTCTTGGATGTGTCATTATGGTGAATACCACCCATCATTCATGGTGGAAAAGTTGAAAATCAGTGATGTTGAAACATTCCTTCTTCCACGCCTCCCATCTCCAGACATTCCCATCTCCCACAACCTAACTCAAGGCTCCTCTCTCTATGAAGTTGTGTCTCGCTCATGTACCCTGTTTCTCTGCTGAGCAGGGAACAATCTACGTCCTTTGACTTCTTCAGTCTGTAGTGAGACTGCCACCCCATCTCTTAGCCACTGGGAGACTGAGGCAAGTGATCTTCACATTTTAGTAAGACTATACCTTTGCTTGACTAGATTTCTTTTTGTTGTTGGTCCCTTACCTTGGTCCTTCCTCCTTCCCCTTCCACCCAGCCCCTTTTCTTGCTAATGCTCTGGGGATGGAGATAATGTCTGTATCTTCCACTTCAGGTAGCCCAAGTCTCATGGATAGAAGCCCCTGAACAATATTTTTGCTGATTAGAAAGTTGGAGAAGATTAAATAGAAAGCAGCAGTTCTCAGTTGGGGGTAATTATCTCCCCCTTCCACCCCCATCCACCCTTATTTGGCATTGACATTGGTATGTTTGGAGCATTGTTGATTGTCACAACTGTGCATGCTTATGAGGGCTGCTGCTGGCATCTAATGGATAGAGGCCAGAGACGCTGGCCTTACCAAGCACAGGACAGCCACCCACAGTCAAGAATTATCAGGGCTCAAATGTCAATAGTGCCAGCGCTAAAAAATCCCGATCTTGACAAATAATGAAATGTAACAGAACTGATCTTGGCAATGGCAGAGCTGGTTTGGGGTGGGACCAAAATTGGCCAGATCTGCACCACAGTATCCAGTTCTGCTAGTGGCACCAGGGAAACACATACCTTTGTGTTTACAAAAACAGCTCAGGTTTCTAAAGAGCTTTCATACCAGTTACTATTCTTGACCTTTCCTAATCATCAGAGAAGATAATTTGCTTTCACTTGCACCCCCTTCTCTTCAGCTGAAAGAAGAGGAAATATAGCTAAGCAGGTGAGTCACCTGTCCAAGGTCTCAGAGCTAGCTAGTGATCAAACCACTGGTTATCAGCCTTCCAGGCCAGGCTTGAGTCCTCCCCTCATGCATCCTTTTTTGTTAAAGCAGAAGTGACAAGGGCAAGACATTGACAGGGTGGACTTCTGTGTCCCACGGCACCTGAGTCTGCCATACAGGCTGGACAGGGCCTTCTCCACTTGTAGGTTTCTTTTCCAGATGCGAACATTATTCATCTAAATTCAGGAGGTGACTCAAGGGCCAGTCCCATGCACTAGCAGTCCCTATGCCCTGTTTGGAGCTCCTGTACCCGGGGCTTCAAGCCCCATCTGGAAACTTAAAAAACCACCAGAAGGAAATCAAAGTGACCTAAAGAAAGCGTTTTATCTCTGAGCCAATAGAGGGCGCTCACGTGCAGGCCAGCTGAAGCTGGCGCAGTAGCTGACTTTTCAGCACAGAGGGCTGGAAGAAGCCTTAGGTTTCTTAACTTGAAGGGGCATACACACAGGGGAACATGTGAGAAGCAGATTCTGGGCCCAGAGTTCGGTAG